TCATCATGGTTGCTACAAAAGGGACATAGAGAGTCCAACTATATGCCCCGTTGCTGCAATAAAAGTGAAGATCGATTGTGCAAGGCTAGCCATGAGAACCATTTCACCTGTGGGTGGCATTTAGAAGACCAAAGTGCACGGCAAATAGGTTGTAATGAACCTTGATGCATAATAAAATCCTATGCCCCGTTAATTGAGAACAAGACATCAGCAGAGTGAATCCAAACCAGTGAATTCTTTTTGGGTTGTAGTGGAAGAGTATAGTTCTCCACATCCCCCCATGTATTTCTCATAAAGGCAGATGTGGGAGGGGACAAATTCAAAGATTGAGGTACACCTCCAATAAAGTCTAAAACCCTCCTCCAAGCAGCAGCCCCCAAATCCTCCTGAATGGCATTACCATGGATCTACCCAAAAATCCACCATCTGACAATTAACAATACTCTACTATACATTGGCTTTCAAACGCGATAAGCCAAGTAGAATCCCCTTCCATGCATGAGAACATCCTCTTTTTGCTTCAGCCTCCCATATAAAAGAATTTCTAAAATATCGATGTTTGAAGAACCGGGTCAACAACGATGATCGGTTTCCTCCAGGTTAACTTCATCATTCCTACAATATTGAAGTTCGCCATTTCCCATACCCTGAGACCTCCTTCTGCCTGAGTGATACACGATGTCCTCCATTTGACAAGATGAACACCTTTTTTCTTTGCTTCACTGGTCCATAAGAAGTACCTCTGTAATCTCTCTTTCATATTATATGTTTTTTTCTTAAGAATGAAAGATAGCAACCAGAAAACCGTTGATGCACTGAGTATTGACTTAAGCAACTGAAATTGACCTGCATATGAGAGACATAAAGGCTGCCATGACCCAATCTTACCGAACACCTAACCCACCAGACTATGGTATTAAATGTGCCTCAAATGTCCACGGAATAATGGTAGGCTCAAATAACAGACTGGTAGAGATCCTTCAAGGAACACCAACACTCTCAAGATTCTCCCACGTCCTCCCCGTGGTGCATCAAAGAAGAAAGCCTTGCTTTTAGAGGAATTCAAAATCTGACCAGTAGTCCTTTCAAACTTAGAAATGAGTTCTCGCACAGCAGTGGCTGAGGAAATGGATGCCTCATAGGAAATAAGCACATCATCAGCATAAAACAAATGAGAGAGACCCTGTAATCACACCCCGAAGGAAATGCCCTAGGATTCATTCCTTGCAACCTAGCATAATCAAGCTACCTACTGAAGAAATCCATGATCAACTAGAATAAATATGGAGATAGAGGATCCCCTTGTCTCAAACCTCTTTCCTTTAAAATATCCCTTAGGTGAACCATTCCTCAAAATAGAAAAGGAAGTTGTGGAAATACACAAGCGCACCCATGAAACAAATAGATCAGGAAAGCCCAAAGCATGCAGTCTACCCACAATAAGATCTCAGGAAACCCTATCATAGGCACTGCTCAAATCAATTTGCAGACACATTTTAAACCGAACTGATTTCCTATGTCAGAGAGACATAAGCTAATTTGCCACAAGGATGTTATCTATAATAAGCCTACCTTTCAAGAATGCATTGTATAAAACATTACACAACCCAATAGGTCTAAAGTCTTTCATCACACTAGGTGCATCCACTTTAGGAATCGAACATATAAAAGTGCAGTTGATTTGCTCGAGAAGCTTACCTTAAGTGAAAAAATCCTCAAGGGTCAGAAAAAGATCCTTTTTAATGACTTGTCATCCAAACTTATAGAATTCCATTGAAAACCCATCCAGACCCATGGCACTTTCACTTTTCATGTCCCAAATGCACGCTTTGATCTCCTCCATGTTTACTGCGTCCACCAATTTGTTCTTTTGAGAAGAACTTAAAAGAGATAGCGGCAAGAACTCATCAACAATATGTAGGTCAGTATTGCTCTCCTGAGCCAATAGATCCTTGAAATAGTCAATCATATTATTTTTAATGTCAGCCTCAATAGATAGAAAATTCCCATTCTAATCTTTCAAAGAGATAATTCCATAGTTACCAGGATCTCCTACTTTTAGGCGATCGCTTCTAGGATCTCGATTATGTCACTCCCAGGACGGATCTCTCAAGGATCTCGATTTTTAAATTTTGGGATCTCGAACACCACTCATAGGGATTCTGATTCCTGTTATTAGGGATTTCGTTCTCAACCTTAAAGACCAAAACATCAACCAAACTGATGATTTTCTTTGTTTATAGTTGACTCGCAACACAACTATTGTTTGCTTGCGATCAATAATGAGATTGTTACTTTAAGGAGTAATCATAATTCTAGATTATCATACACTTTAAGGTTGCTAACAAGATCCCCCAAAAAGTTGGGATCAAGATCCCCAAAATATTGGATACTCGATCCCTAACATTTGGGAATCTCGATCCCTAACATGTGCATTGTACGGATGGCGTTCCCAACCATAGGGATCTTCTAGCATTTCACGATCCAAATCCTAGTACTGTTCCTGCTTCTGATTCCAATAACTATGGATAATTATGTCCTTCCTCCTTCTAACCACAGTAGATAGATGGAAATATTTGGACTTGGAGTCCCCATCCTTTAACCAGTTCTGCAGTTATTTTTGCCTCCAGAATCTTTCCTCATGGCCCAAAAGAGCCTGCAATTTCTGAGTACATTCTTTTTCCTCTGACATGAATGTCTCATGGGAACGATCCATGTGTAAACAATCATGCAAAGATGACAATTGATATCAAACTGCTGCAATGGATTTCCCCACATAACCAAACACATCCTTGTTCCATGAACGAAGGTCACCCCTTAGCCTCTTAAGTTAGCAACAAAACGATACATGGGTGTCCCCCCCACTTTCCCTTGCCAGGAATTAGAAATAGCATCCAAAAAATCATGATGCTGCTCCCACATAGAGAAATACTTTGAAAGGTTTTGGGCCTACCGGACCCAAATCAGCATTAAAAACGAGTAAGGGATAGTGAACCGAGGTACCTTTAGGAAGTAACTGGCCTTTGGACTCGGGAAAAGCCAAAACCCAATCAGTAGTTGCCAATGCATGCTCCAACCTCCTTCTAATGCATCTTCTGCTCAACTAGCTATTAGACCAAGAGAACCACCCCCTAACCACGCCAAGATCAGCTAAAGCACAATCCGATACTACTTGAACAAAGTCGCCTGAATCTGGGGGTAAAGAACTCCTATCCCCCACTCTCTCCAAGGAATCCAATAGAGTATTGAACTCCCCTAATACCAGCCAAGGAAGATTAATAGTTGCTCTTATAACCCTCATATGATCCCAAAGTAGAGGCCAATGGCACATAGAATTCGTATTTGACTACCCTTGGCAAATGCAGCTTGCAGTTGAGAGATTATTTCAGGTAATACGCCACAAAACCTTTGAGAAAGTACTTTTGCCAATATCTTGTAAATCCTCCCATGTAAGTTAGTGGGTCTTACGCCATTGATATCCTCTCCTCCTCTTTTTAGGAGTCAGGGCTATGACAGATGAGTTCATAGAAACATTTCCTCCACCCCCGAGATGAAACTCTTCAAACAAGAGTAGCACTTAAATCTTTTACCACATCCAAAAACTTTTGGAAGCCAAAGGGGAATCCATTGGTAGTTGCCCTGCTCATATTAAAGAACACTTCATGATCTTGTGTTCCTCAAAGGACCTCTCAACCCACAACATGCTCAACTGAGAACTTGTTCAATGGCATGTATTCGAAAAACAATTTGGATCTCCCTACACCGAAAAGCATTTGGGGGAGAATTGTACAATGGTAGATTCCACTTCCTACACATGATAATAACTCTTCCCTCCAATTGAGATTCTTAGACCAAGTTACTCCTTATTTGCAGTGACATGAAAAAAATTTAAGTATTACCATCCCTTCAACCATTTGCTCTTGACCTTTGATGCCATTAAATTTCCTCAAGCCTTAAGCAGTCTTGTACAAAAGCTGTCATCTCCACCCTCAGACCCCTCCCCTTAGTCAAGATGGAGGTCAAAGATAAACACCTGTTTCATGTAATTATGTTATGGTGTGCCTAGGTCCGTTTTGGTTTTTTCCTTGGATTACTATTGAAGCAAACATATGAAGTTATTACCCTAGGTTAAACTTAGTGTCAAGCCAGACTAAACACACACAGAGAAACAGTTACCATCCAGACTATAAGGAACTCGATAGAGCATCTTTAGTTTTTCCAATATGTGCTTCTGAAGAACAGCTGTTGTATAGACTTTTAACAGTTTTTCCCGAGGAGAAACATGGATCATGCAATCAAGCGCAGACACCCCATTAGTGGGAATCCACATTCCACGAAGTTGTTCATGAATGGTTTGAAATATTAGTATTCCATAAAGAATATCCTATTCATTTAAGGGTCTTTGTCATTTTTTTTGAGACATTGGTAATTTTGTCATTTCCGAGCAAAACATACATGTGCCAGAGAAAAGGATGTAGCGTAACCCTCAAAAATTCATGTGAGAGCTACATGCATGAGTGCTTGAACCGTTTACGATTTCATGAACGACTGATATCAATGAGAGTAACAGTTGTAGTCATCTATCAAAGGTCTCCCAATAACTTCACGATGATGCTAAATGATCCATATATTATTCTATTGCCTGGCTTATACTTTGAATCATCAAATGTTGAGAGCTGCTGGAGAGAAGTGGAGGTATAACTGGATCTCAAGAAAACCTATCTATGAGATGTTTAAAAGACAAACCGGAATTGAGATGGTGAAAAATACACATCTAACATAATATTAGCTGTCAGTTATTATTGTTGAACTGGAAAGCATCATTCCCTAATGGTTAGAATAACATATCCAATTAGAAAAAGCATACTGGATATTCTCTATCACTAGTAGAATATGAAAAGCATTTCGAACAATTTCTTTAAAAATCAAAGTGAAAAGTTCAACGAACATCACAAGTCATAATAACTTTAGAGATCCATGGAGTCTTGTGTATGCCATACCAAATCATTTTCTCAACCTGCTTTGCAATATTATACTCTAGATCAGCTTCTTTCTGTTTAGTTCGACCAGATTTTGCCATCTTTTTCGATTCCATTATCCATGGCAAAACGTATGACTGATAATCTTCATGTAACAGAATATACTGCAAATAACAATGAAATCATGTTCAATAAACACAAATGCAACATGAAGAGGGCACAACTGGACATGTAATATCTGCATCACCTCATCTTTAAACAAAGTCAGTATTAAGTTCTCCTTTAGAACAACCTGCAGATAAAAAGAAAAAACTTAAGAAAAGGTGATCTACAAAAAGGTAAAAGAAGTATCTCAACAAACCGTATGGTATAAAACAAATCAGCATATGTCAAGAAAATATCTCTACATAAATATCTCCATTTAATCATTAGTGCAAGAGACCTGCCTGGAGTTTAGTAGAGAATTTGCCATTATTCAACCATGAAAAATGAAATTGAATGGTAGGAATGAAATAGAAGTAACTACTAATTTTCCACGGGAACATATCACAACTGCATTGACGGGGTTAATAAGGAAGCTGTAAAATAGGAAGTAGATGAAGCTATTGATAAGTGTCGTTTCCCATCCATCTAAGCTTCATTAAAAATAGTTTCTGGAAAACCCAGTAAGACTGGAGTAAGAGCTATGGGAGTGACGTAGTGAAGCATGTCCAAATGTTGATTGGAAGATCAATGGAACACAGATTTTTTTAAAAAACCGATCTATATGGAAATCACCTAATCTGAATTAAGAATTGGTTGGACTGATCTAGTCCCACCATTTATAGAAAATCAGCTGGTTCTTGCTAGGAACCAGCCGCTGCTCTAACATAACTAACCCGTTCAGTCAATGAAATGGCCAATTCTGTCAGTGAACCGGCTGGATCAATCAGGAATTGGCTAGTTCCCGCCCTACTTTATTTTTTATTTTTTTCCTCAATTTTTAAGTAGTTCTCGGTCAGACCGTGGGGCTCCACCTCTTTTATTTTATTTTTAAAATTACAATCTTTATTATTTACCCACTTCTTTCTATTAGTTGCCCATCTTTTATATGAAGATGGTCCCACTCCAGCCCAATTAAATGAGGGCAACCGCCTAACTTGTGAGATTCACGATGCCCGTGTCCTTTACATAGTACCTTCTCTCCCAAAGTCTATCCCAAATCCCCAATGTGGGTAGAGTTTGGGAGAGAATTATGCAAGAGCTCATTTTTTGTTTTTGTTTTTGTTTTTTGTTTTAGTTGTAATGGATCCTCTTCTAGTATAATCTTTAGTTTTTCTTGTTGTGGATTGGGTACACTATTTCTTGTCATTGATTGTGTGAGTTATAATAATTGGAACCTAAAGGAGTTAAAATGATATTCAATTTGTCATGTACTAGCAAATCAACACTAGATTTTATAGATGGCACTTCTTGAGGGAGCAAAAAGATCGATTTACTTCCATTCAAAAATAACAGACTATGAGAGATCTTCTATTTGATAAGTTGGAATCCATTTTAAATTCATAAATACATTTCTATAAAAGAAGAGTATTTTGATTATGAAATTTCTTTAAAAAATCACAAAAAATTTTATTATGAAAATGACTTTCTCCCTCGTTTCTTCATTAGAATCAGAAAATGACTATAAATTTTTTTGTAGAAGAATTGTATCGAAATTAGTATCAAAATTAATATCAATAGACACTGAGGCAAGAAACGGTGCCTCAATATTCATATATTTTTACAAAATATTGAAAGTCTATAATGCACTAACCTATTTTCTTTTGGAAACTCAAAAGGCACTATCTATAACTATTTTCAAAACTTTTTTGAAATTTTTTTAAGGCCATATCAGGCCGATCCAGCAGATAGATCCATCCCAATAGCTGATCCACTGATCCATATCAGTTTTTCAAGATGGGCAACCCGGGTCGCCGATCCATTTTTTAAACATAATTCCTTTCAAATTTATGTTATTGACATTTTGAATTTTTTAATCTCAACGAAATTTCTAAATAAAACTTTGGCACAAATTTTGGTACAAATACTGATGAAGTAAATGCATAACTCAAGGGGTCTACTTAGATTCAAATAGTTCAATCTAGAAAGAGATTCAAATACAGATGATCGAACATCTTAGAGCACATTCAGGCTGCATGTTTCATAGATATGTCAAGATCACTTTTGCCCAACAATAATAGATTTTCATATAAAAAGTTATCTTCTCTCAAAAAAAAAAATATATTCTCATATATAAAGATTATTATGCATTTCATGTTTTCAAACCATGTAACAGTATTAAATAATAGAATCGTATGATGCCCCACAAATTCGAGAAGTTCTCAAAACATCCTAGCAATCAAATGTGTCATAAGACTATTTACATGAATAAAAGTGACAAAGTACCATTAATCTCAGTGTACAGTCTTACTTACTCTTTTCATTTCTTAAAAGAATTAGAGTATAAGAATTGAAGCGGAATACAAATTCATGATGTGATCCTTCTCTATTAACTTGTAAACATATTTGTGCTGGTTAAAGAACCGGTTGAAAACATCCATCAAATTAACAGATTTTACATTTTAACATTTTCAATAATGTGTGATGAGCTTAAGGAACAAAACCATATGGAACATGGAAACAAGATGTTGGAGTGAACCGGTAAAAAGACAAACTTGGTAAAAAGACAAACTTGGCAATGCAACGTAAAAGCCAAATCAAATTTGTCATATGCCTCCTTACTTTGTTTAAGCATGGAATAGAGAAAGCGAAGAGCAAATTAATTCAAGTCTCCAGAAAGTCCACTGGAGGATTTATATTTGCATTTACATAACTTACACAAACTTTCAAACTACAACAGAGGAAATTATCAGCAGGTTACACAAACCATCGCAATGTCAATCCCAGTTATTCGAAGCAGCTCACTAGGACAAACAAGATAACCAATAAGCACCCAATCTCGATATGTTGAAACATTAGCCAAGTCTTGGGCCCTCTGCACGGAGACAAATCATACAAAATATAAAAGAAGCAAATATAGAAGACAATATTCCGCAAGAAAAAGGCAATATTCTCTCTGAATGATACAACTTTACTTGGCCAAGTTGGTCCAAATGAATTAATAAGAAGAAAACCACTCAAGAGTTATTCTGAAAACACAAAATTTACCATGGGGTGCGCAGAATTTGTAAGTATATCAGGGTATCGAGGATGAAAGGGACTTAAGAACCCCTCATTTCTCAATTTCTTAGTATCAGTAGACAAGAAAACAATAGGGCCCACAGCCTCCAAAACCTACAGCCAAGACGAGAAAGAAAAGGAAACTTCAATCACATCCCTATATCAGGAAATTCATTTACTTAAGTTAAAGCCAATCAGTAGAAAGAAGAGTGCATCAATATGGGACATAAATTATATAAAATATACTCCTCCCTTTCGCAGTTTAAAAACTATTCATGATTATGGGTATGTATTTTTGTCATTAAGTTGATTTGATTAATAAATCATGTGACCACAGTTGTAGGGTCTAAAGTAAATCTGTTTCATGTTAGGAAAGGCTATTTTATACATACATAAATTTATCACATCATGCAAACACTTCATCCCTATTGAACGAATATAAGTAAATAGGAAAAAAAAAACTAATCATGACCTGACTGAACACAAGGAGCTAGAACATGGAAATAAGAAGGTGTCCCAAACCCAAAATCTAGAATGAAATCTCTCTTCATAGTTCATACGGTTAACCTATGGGAAAAATATTCAAAGTAGTATGCATGGTGCAGGTGTTGTCAAAGTAGAATGGTTTAGGAGAGGCTAGATGAATGCCACGGCAAGAAAAGAGGACATGAAACCATATAATCCACCTGCAAGTGTGTTGAAAAACTAAACTTCTCTGCAAGGGATTTAAGCAAAATTTCCAGCAGCTCGCTCATCTAGAATGAGAGATATCCAAAGGATTACGTGAAACCCAGTCTTGTTTCCAACAACATAATATGTCCCAAACAAATATCACTACATAGTTATTACGACATAGGTATTAAAAACAACAATACATCTTTAAAGAAAAGGGATGACATCTCTACAAGCCTAGACTAAAAACTCCTGCACTAAGAAAAGGTCCTGAAGCAGACATACCTTAAGCTTACATTTTTCAATGAGCCATACTCTTTTGAGGTCCCAAAGCAGTCTTTCCTTAAGCTCACACTTTTCAGCGAGCCATGCTCTCTCTCTCTCTCTCTCTCTACAAAAAAAAAAAACACTTGAGACTTCTTTTGTCAAAATCCTAGGCTTTTCATTGTCACTCTCTCCAGACTTCATTTGGAGTTTGGAGCCTAGTGCATCTTCCGCATTCCATCATATACGAGAACTATGTGTCTGCATTAAGGTTTTATATTGAATCTTCTACAGCAGATCCATCAAGTGCACAGTGCTATTTTGAGCATTACATGCAGTATGCTTTGTGCCTGATTTAAAGCCCGAATGATCTTCAAATAAATTGAGTCAAGGCCCACCAGGAGAGAGCACCTTGTGAAACGGATTACCTTACATGTTCAAGCACTAGCAGAAATTAAAAAATGGTCTTTCTATTTATCAGAAAAAGCCATGATAGGTAATCTTCAGATAAATTGGTGTCAACAGAAACCAAAATCTCGTATTCTGGTGGCATGTTCATTTCCTGAGGCTCAGAATTACAAGCTCAATATTGATGGTGCTTCCTTGAGAAATCCAAGTCTAGCAAGTTGAGGTAAGTCATCAGGAACAGTGATGGTGGTTTCGTTGCTGCTTTTGCAAAGCATTTTGGATTTGCCTCTAATAATCATGTAGAGTTCTTGGCCCTTGAAGAAGGCGTTCAGTTGGTTCATCAGAGGAATTGCTTTCAAATTCAAATAGCAAGCGATTCGGCCCTACTTGTAAATGTCATTCAGAATCGACGCCGTGCTCCATGGAGGTTACATACAATTGAAAATAACTGTCGTACTAGACTTTCTATGCAGCAATGGTCCATTGCACATATTTTCGAGAGGCAAATATGGTTGTTGATGCGCTCACTAAGAGAGCATCTGTTGGCCCTGGTGCTATTGTGTGGCGCCATAGACCACCAAATTTTCTTTCTCCACTTTTACTACATGATCTGGCTAAGTTAATTGTTTTTCTTTTTACATCTATTAATGAAAAATCAAGTAAGGGGCCTTCTCCCCCACTAACTTAACCCCAAAAAAAAAAAAACCTGAATGATGGAAAGACTAAATTGAACCTAAGTATGCAAGAATTTGCAAATGTGAACTACAAACTGCATTCCAAGGCTTGCATGTTGTAAGTGTTTTTTGTCTTTCTATCATTTACAAAGAACAAAAACTGTCATGATTACAGAGGTAACAAGCTTCACACAATATCCTAATTTCATTAGGTTAAACAATTCATTTGAAATAGTTCACAAACAATCACCTACTTTGAAGTACACAGTAGCATCAAAATCAACATCATATCCGAAAACAAAATCAGACAGACAGGCATGCATGCACATCTGAAAGCAGATTGTACAGTATTAAGTTTGAACTTCTCATAGAAGGCAATACAAATCCAACAACAAAGGTTTCAATGGAAGCAAATCTCAAATGAATTCAATTTTTTGAAAAGAAAACCAATGAACTTGCTTATATGAAAAAAATCATTACAAAAAAAAAAACATCAAAACGACAACCTCTCCAATTCTAGGACTGACAAAATTAAGATCTTCATGCAATCCTTTTAATGGTGGATCATATGAATCAATGAATTGCACCAACCTGCAAAAGAAGTCCAACAATTATAAATTACCGACCAAAGAAGAACAAATACTTATGACTTGGCGAGAAAACAGAAAGGGCACTTGTAAGTATGCATTCTAACACATATTCAAGAACAATAAAATCAACAATGCAACCTTACATTTAGCAAGATATGAACATCACAATGAGGATACCAATGGACTTCCGTATGAAGACGCAGATTAAGAATTAGAAATGGCTTCCATAGGTAACAACAGAGTCCCCCTCATACATCCCAAAAAACTTTATGAATAATTAGGAGTACAAGGTAATGCCTATTTGGAACATACCACATATCATTAAGGTTTTCTCCCTGCCAAGCTGTCTGAAAACACGATGTGGAATGCTGTAAATGTAATTTGCTTATTCCTCAACTCATGACAATCAAAGGTATCCCATGATGTGGAATGCCTTAAGTGTTATAAGCCTATTCATCCTTCACAACAATGCAAACTTTTGACAGACTCGGCACAATAAGATAATTTACTCATCTGGTTTTCACAAATCAATAAAGGGATTTCCTCATCATTTAGATATGAAAATTCAGGACTCCACATCATATGAAACTGGAGTGATTCAACATATTGTAGAGATTTTGGATTACAAATTCAATTCTTTTGCTCTATGGATTTGTTTGGTGACAGTCAGCATAGAATTGGCGATATCCATCATTTAGATTTCTTCTTGTTCTTGGCGGATATGTTAATTTATGAAGCATCTACATTCATTTGATATGTGCATTTCCATGAATGAATAGTTAGCGCCCAATGGAATGCTGGAATAAGATATGGAGTACGAGACACTCTTCCGATGATTGGAAGAGCAACCTCAGCTTCCCCTTGCATTGTTGATTAACAACTGCAATCGTCAGTTGTGCATTTTTTTTTTCCCTCTTCTGGCCACTATCTCTAGTTCATCCTCAACTGCTCTCCAACCACGGCACAACTGTTCATGCCTAATTGTTGACTTTGAGAACTAATACACAACATATTTGGCACCAATATGGAAAACGGCTACCAAAATGCAAAGAAAATAATAATAATAAGAACTACATATCTTGTAATGCATGTAACTGTAGTAATGCAAATAAACACTTCTGCACTTGTACTGTTCTTTATTGTCAAGTGCACATCAATAACCAAAACCCAACGTGTTACATAAACTAAGTCATCATCTAAGGACTAAGGGCTTTCAACCCAACTAAAGTTAAAAACGTATACAAATGAACTCAGTCTTCATTTTTAAATTTAGTTCAAAAAAGGATGACTCTACCAAACAAAATGATTGCCCACCGATGGTAATACTCGTAGTCTCGACCACTTTTAAGCATAGAATGCAAAAGATTATAGGTTTGCAGGATCATTTTCCGCGGCATCTGCAAGGGAATCATGTAATCTTGTGTTAGCTTGGTACTATCTAAAAATCCTCTCAAAGAAGATCATAGTTATGAATTTATGACAACTATTTCGGAACTCTTTAATGATGAAAAATTAAAGACAAAGAAAATCATCAAAAGGAAAATAAATGTGCCTTTTCTGAGAACAGGTTCACACGAACAAATGAGCAGAAGAGCTCCATAAATGCATGTAGGATTAAGGAATTTTGATGGGGCTGCAAAAGCACAAGAAACTCCAATTAAAATTGGATCTAACTAAAATAAGAATAGAAAAAAAGTTAGTATAGTTGGATATGCACAAGAATCACTGCATGCCTGAAGCTCATCATTAGATGACAAACTTACCAATAAGGTGATGACTGTACTGCTAAGATCCAAAATCAGTCTCAATGCTTGTTCACGAAACACCATTAGGTCAAGAAGCAGCTGAACAAAATTAAAATGCATTCAGTAAATCTTAGAACTAATGAAGACAATGTGAATATAACAACTGCCTCACTTGACCAACTGATTAAAAAAGGACATTCATCTGCTGAGACAAATAGCATGAAGCAATCCCCCAAATCAATTATCAAAAACCTATATTTGAACACGTATAAGCAAGTTCTGGATTAGGCAGACAACTATGATAGAATTAAGTATCAAATTAGTGGAAACATTATTATGCTGTTCCCACATGCATACTTAACAAAAGATAGTACTTTACACAATGCAGAAACGAGTAAGTGAATTACTATCACACAGAAATAAATGGAAACAGTTGACACCTGAATCACTATAATTTGAAAAAGGAGGTCAGTCAAAATTGTATAATGGCTGATTCAGCCATGAGAAAAATAGCATGTTACATTAAGAAGACAGCATGAACAGGTTCTTATGATTAGCAAAGAAACTAAACATAAGAGCAAGCACCCACTGTAACCAGCGGTTCCAAGCTTTCCATATAGCTTTCCACATTCTCATGCAGTGCGTCCATTCCAATCTTATCGACCTGCAAAAAACCCAATAATCAGTTTAAACAACAGAATAAAAATTCTTTGTTATGTGAAGGATCTATTAATGATGACAAAAAGACAATCTTACCCTTTCCAGTTGCAATTTACTAGTATGCTCAGGGAATTTCTTAGCAATATGTAGACAAATTCTTGGATGGTTGGGTATCATTCCGCCTTTCCAAAATGAATCTGAAATTACATATGAAACTGGATCTGGGTAGTCCAACTTCTGGTTCAATCTGTACATTTTAGTCAGAAGTCCTTCGGCAACCTCGGAAAGCCGGAACACAGATTCCATATGCCGAGCCTTATGGAAAGTTCCTGAACTTGGTGGCGTCGTTGAAGCAGCATGATTCCAGCTGGATGATGGAGAGACCGTTTCAGGATTCAAGTATTCTGACCATCTGAATATACTATCCAAGGAGTTAGGAGATGTGTCGTGATCAAGAAAAGTTGGCCGTGGCTTAGCCATGAACTGGACTCTGCAGATATTCAGAAGAGATGATTTCTTAATCACACTATGAATGATAAGCAAACCACATAAGAGATAAATCTATTGGACCTGGGAAAAGCAACATGCACAGCCTAATAAGTAATATTTCTAATCGGTTGCTGAAAAGGAGAAGCCAAAACTAACAATTTAGAAAACAAAATGTAAAAAAAGGTTATCAAATATTTATGTTGTGCCAAAGCATGATTACTCATCTCAATAAAGAATGAACTGCGTCTGGCCAAGATAAGTAGTAGCATGAACAAATTAACATGAAAATCAGTGAGCATGAATTTTTTACAATTACCTTCAATAATATTAGGAATGCATTTTGAATAGAAAGAAAATTATTTTGTATCTCATTTTTTTTATTTTTTCCATCTTTTCTTTTATAAGAAGCAAGCATAATTCAGATGGTTCTCCTAAAGAAGCAATTCTCTTTCAGCCAACAGGATCTCACTGGCAATTTACAGCTGAGGTGCTCTTTACAAAGTGCAAGGATGGAGAATAATGAAGACGATAGGCCATTAATCCTACCCTAACATTTTGGCACATAAGTCTTGCCTTTCCAACTTAGAGAGGAAAATGGGATCTATCATCTCTCCCCCAAAAGAAATGTCCTTTAAAGGAAGGCAAATCTAGGATAGCTTTTTTATGGCACAAAAAAGTCTAGGATAGAAGGTGGAGCGCCTTTAATGAAAATATCTTGATTTATGATTTTACTTAAAAATACCAAACAATAGCACATGGATCCTGTAGTGCCTGTAGTGAAGAGACTTGGAAGAAGACTGTGTCGATTGGGGAATAGTCATCCTTTTCTAGCAGAGTCACATGGGTTTAAGGAAACTTCAGCAAGATCCCAATTTACTCCTTGCCTTTACTCCATATCCCAGCAAGGGTGGCCAAGGAGTTGGAAATAAGTCACTCAGACAATCATGAAAAGCACAAACAATACTTACTTAAATAGGAAGAGATTTACAAACTATGACATAGTCGTTTAGGCAACTGGTAGATACAGCATTTGACTTAACTCTGCTTGGCAAGTGGCATTGCATTCTGTATTAGAGTTTTTCGCCATGATGACAAGGATAAGTATGATTCTAATAGGTTATATTCGGGATCTTGAAAGGAATGCTATGGCATTCAAGGTTTGGTGACATATCACTCGTGTAGGACTTGGGTTCAGGCTGGACATTAAGTTTAAGGATAGTAATGAGGCTTGTGTATGTTTCTAGTCCAATCTGTGAGCTCTTCAATATTGCTAAGTCTTAAGCACATAAATGCAGATCCCTATGCTTGATTCATCCAATAAGTACTTTAACTACAATGGTGGTAATATCGTCCGATGCACCCAGTTTCAACCTTATCTTAAGAGAGTTTGAGATACATCATAATTTGAGGCACCCCTTGGAGAATGCGGACTGAAGAGTCAGCGTCTTGGATCTTGACGCTTAGGTCAAGGACTATTCAAGTATAACGAGGGTGGTTGCATCATTTGGTATCCCCACTTTAAACATAATTTTAGAGACTTTGAGATAAATGAGGTGGAGCACCTCTAGAGGAGTGTAGAATCATTTTTCATACTTTGAGCTCTCAGATCTGTCAATGCTTTTGTTTTATGCTTGCCTAATTTCTCAGTCTCCACCTTCAAATGGTAAACTGAAGCTTAATTTTAATGGCGTTGAATGAGAAAATTGAGAGGACATTGATCTTACAAGGTTTCGTGATGCAACAATTGCCTAGGTCTCATCTCCTTTACCAACTTTAAAGTGACCTTCTCAGTTTTTATCACCTCTATCCTCTAGTAAGGGACCCAATATTTCTCTAAATGTCAGCAGATGGGTGAACTAAAAGTTATCAAAAACAGAAGAATGGGTGAGGTAAAAAGTCTGTTTTTCTTAGAATGATGGTTAATATCATGGAGAAGGTCGAGAATTTTCTCGACAAGGAAGTCATTGTAGGAATCAATACATTTGGAAGGGCCAGTTTAAAAGCTCATTCACTCACTTATGAAGGGGTTAGCGGAGACTCTTTGTTTACAGGAATTTCCATCCCTTTTTTTTTGATTCCCCTGTGGCCTTCTGTAATCCTTTCTTGTTCACATAGCACCGGCAACTGACAAATTACCAGATTGCAGTGTCGCCTAGGCAGGATGGGCATGATAAACATCTATTCACCAGATTGTGAGGGAGTGAACATTTTAGTCTTTCTCATCTCCTTTATTTTTCCCATTTTCTTGGTAAATGTGGGATTTGAAACCTCAACCTTGGGAAAGCATGAATTTTATAAGACTAACAGTGATATATTGGCAGTCTATAACTCTATATATATTGTGTTTTGCGTAACTCCTGCTATACAATTTGCTTTATATTGATACAAAAACATGGCACTTCTCTTTCTACAATAAAAATGACATAAAAATGAAAGGAGAAAGAGAGAACCGCTTTCAGAGAGAGAGCTGTGAAATTCGAAGCAATCAGTATGGACAGTCCATATTCTAGATGTAATGCAGGTTGAATCTGGACAGATCATCACAAGGAAACGAAAAAACTCATGTACGGGCAAGCTATTGAAACCATCCTTTAGCACCACACTCACGAATCACATGGAAGTTGCAGAAAAGAACTATACAGAAAAAAAACAGCAACAAAAGCTTAAAAAATGTACCAAATTGCCGAACGCCAAGCTTTTCCAGCAGCAGCTCATGAATTCTGCTCCATTAACAACTGAAGCGCCACAGATCTGAAGCCCAACAATAGCAACAAAGAGACACAAACGTGAAAAATGAGTAAAATGCAGAATAAGTTAAGAGCTGAACCACCCAGAAGCATGTAAATGAAGTAAGATAATGCCCAGAGAAAGACAGAGAGAGAGAGAGAGAGAGATGTGAAGCAAAAAGGGGAAGAAGGTAAGACCTGAACCAAAGTAAGACCTGAACCAAGGTAAGACCTGAAGCAGACTCGGAGAAGGGGGTTTGGTGTACGATTAATGAGTTCTTTACTCTGTTTTTGAACTGAACTGCAATACTGCACTTTGACACGAGAGTTAGAGAGAGGGAGAGAGAGAGAGAAAGAGGTGAGTTTTTACTGTTTTCTTGATGAATCAGAGAGAGAGAGGGGTTTTTGCTATTTTCTTAGTGAATGGGAGAGAGAGAGATGAGGAATGTTTACTGTGTTTCGTGGTGTGGGGACAGAGATGAATTTTTACTGTTTCTCTTGGTGAATGAGAGATGAATTTTTACTGTTTTTCTGGGTGAGAGAGAGAGAGAGAGAGAGAGGTCAGTTGTATTAGAGAGTGACAGTTGTGATTTTATTATGGATTCCGACAGACTTTGCTTAGACATTACTCTTCTCCCACTATGCCCGCACCCGGCTTTTCACCCTAAAGCCGTGATGTGAATTTACTGCCTATTTATACACGCTCATTATTGAGTCTTAGCTGGTCAGCTACTAGTAAATTTGGGAAACTCAACCAATACAAACACGCCTATTTTTATATGTAGGGAAACTTAAAAAAATGGACATAAACGGTCAATTATTTAATATTTTATTAATATTTTTATTTAATTTCAAAATATATATGATCATAATTTGGGATAGTTGAAAAAGAATAAATATTTCAAATATTAAAAATTAATTTATTCTAATAAATTTCTCTGTCTTCTCAAAGAGTTGATTTTCAGTCCACGGCCCAACGATCCCACAGTTGATTTAGGAGGCCTTCGTTTTGTTTACAAAGGAAAAAAAAAAAGGGGTATATCTTTCAAAATTAAAATAAAAAAGGTTTTTTTTTCAAAAATATATAAAGAACTAGATTATTTTTAAAAAAAATTAATATAATGAGGACTTTTTCCAAATTTTGATATACAAAGCCCACTTACATGGATGATATACTTATTAATTTATTTCAGGGCATTATTGCCAACTACCCATTTCTTGAAAAGAATGCACTTAGGATTTGAAACGCATCTTAGGTGATTTTAGGTTTATATTAAGGGATTCTTATCCATAGAGTAATTTTTTAGTGTACTTAAACATTTTTGGGCATTTATTACTATTGTTTTGTATTAGAAAAATTTCGATCAAACTCATTTTTTATCATTAGGAATAGTAAAATAGATATTTTTATAAGAAATTAACGATAATTAATGTTGTATGTAAGTGATCTCAGGTTTCATGACCTAAAAAATTATTTTCATCTATAATTATAAAATTCAAAGCTTAAAAATAGTATAGATCGAGCATATCTATGAACACTTAAACAATTGAAAATTGCTACCCAAATAATGCATTAAAAGATGCGCTATTTTCCAGACTTGAAATCTATTTTTCTTTCATGTCTATACATCTCAAGGTCAAGATTATCGATTTGAGGGTTTTTCAATATCAAGAAAACTCCTCTTATGAATTTTTTAGGTGCGCCCTAGTTTGATTGTCTAAGGCCTCAACTTTATTTAATTTTTTTCTGAGAAAAAATAAACCCTCCAAAAGTAAAAATTCAAATAGGCTAAAAATTATTATTATCTCTTCCAGATTTATGATCATGGCAGTCAACAATACCAACCCAAAAAAGTTTCAAGAAGTATAGGTCCAAAATCTAGATCTAAAATAATTTTTTAAAAGAAGACTATAAAGTCTGCAATTGAATTGGGCCCAACTTATGCATTGTAACCCAATCTTTTATAGTTTCTTTTACTCTACGTATACCTCAAACAAGAGCCTAAAGGGGAGGCTCTTACCTCTAGATATTAGGAAGTAAAAGGAAAATTAAAAAAAATTGTATTTCTAAAAGAGCAAATAGTCCATTTATTCCCTCGAGTAAAACCCAATCTAAAAAATCTTTATTAACTTTAACTATTTGGGGATGTAACTTCTTCAATAATGAAGGGGAAAAAAAAAAATCAAATCAATGTCTCAAGATTGAACAAAGACCTTCCAAATTTTGGACGGTAGATACATGGAATGTAGAAAAAACCTATATTTGTCCTAAAATAACCTTTTGGTGATTTTATGTGGATTCTAGATCTATAAAGTCCACCAAAATAGCTCTTTCACCTCATTGAGTAAATATATATTTTGCTCCCCTAGAGTATAGGATATGCACTCAAAGCCAAAATTTTTACTTAAGTTCGTGGAAATCTAGATATTATCATGAGTAATGATCTTATAGGACCCTCCCCCACCTATGTATATAGGACCCTAAAAGATCACCATTAAAGTTGGCACGGATCTTCAGAAAAGTTATCATATGGATGTGGGACTTGACTTTTCTATAAATTCGTGCCAAATTTAATGGTGATCTTTTGGGGTCCTACACACATAGGTGGGGAAGGGTCCTATAGGATCATTTCTCTATTACTATATTATCAAAGCCATGTTTCTTTAGTTCACGTTTCTAAAAGCCTCACTCTCTCTCTCTCTCCTTTTGACATAGCTACTTAACTGGAGAACAGTTGGTTCCTTAAATGGATTTGGGATGTAGAAAATATTTATCTAAGTTTCTCTAACATATTTCTCCCTTCATTCACTCTAAACACGATACGCCTTTTGTCTTTAAGTTTAGTGAAAACTAAGAACACCATCAGTATTCGGGCCAAAAGAGCTTATCACCGCTTATCTCGAACAACAAGTGAATGTATGCATCTTCTACATCCCAATGTTTCCCATCACCATTGCTTTTGCTAATGGACTCTGATGAATATACCTTTTGCACCACTATTAATGCTCATTTGACCTATTTATTATTGTCTTTGATATTTAAAATAAAAAGTAATTAACAAAACAAAATGGGCATACTTGAAGCAGTGTCACACAACTAGTGAGGTGATGAGCAGGCACCAGTTGATTATCACGTAATACTTCTGGGTTCTCTTTCTTTGCTTTAATAGTAATAAACTTATTGATGGACTAAAATTGATATGCAAGGGTCGTGACCCCCCATGCGTACCATCCCGTCTCATTGAAATCCTCAAATAGAGTCAAATATCTAATAGGCACTTCATTTCCTTACGAGTAGGAGAAAATCGTATTTTCTATTAAATGAAGTAAATATGCCCTAGTGTGCTGCTCACTTTGTAATTGTGTAGGATTATCTGGTAGACACATAAATCTTCATCTCATCGAAGTAAACCTGATCATATGAAGGATACAGTTATGCTGTATCAGGTAGTCTCCCAACCAATGTACCAGGTAATGTTCATAGGGTTTCATTTATGTGTCAATATCGGCTCACCTGCGACTTCGAGCTGAAGAATACACCACACATCAAATAAAGTTGGCATTGTGGAGAAAAACAGATGCCACAATACCAAAACAATTTTCTTTTCAATTAGTGTAATAATGTCACACAAGCCCAAGACTCACAACCCAATAAAAAGAAAAAGAAAAAGAAAAACTAAAGTGAGGTGAAAGAAAAACTTCATTCAAAGATGAAAAATGCGGTACGCAAAAGCATCACACTCTTGACACCCAAGATTAACCTTAACACATGTCACCCAAGGGTACACAAAAGAATTGCAATCCTGATACCCAAGATTAACCTTAAAAAATGTAACCCAAATTTTTCACCACATACCTCTCTTTAAAAAGATATTTTTACAATTATATTTCCTACAATAACTGCCCACTAATAACAATAACTACTAACCACCTAGTAGTTTTACAACTTCCTACTACATAAACTTACAAGTACAATCTCACAACATCACTCATAATAAAATAGCATAAAAACTGATATACTTTCTAGAAATTATACTCCTAACAATTTTAGCACTCCCTCTTAAAGTGATTTTCTAAAAAGGAGACAATGCATACGCGATCATTTCCATCATTTTCTGAAATTGAAATTCCGGCCATTTAACTGGCCACCATACATATTCTTAAATTCAACCAAGCAGGGCTGCATAGCCTACCCTTGAATAGAGGTAACATTAGGAATATATTCCATCTTTAACTCATGAATGCTAAGTCACTTCATTTGTGCCTCCAAATAGGTTATTCCAGATCAACGAGAGATCTCTAAACAAAGATTTTAGATCCTTAAAAAGAATTGGGAAATAGAAAGACCATCATAAAATGATTTTCTAGAAATGAGGCAATGTACATGTGATTATTTCCATCATTCCCCGAAATTGAAATTCCGACCATGTAGCAGGCCCACCAAAGAGATTATCAAATTCAACTAAGTAAGGTTGCGTAGCCTACCCTTTAATAGAGGTAATATTGGGAATATACTCTCTCTTTAACCTTGAATGATAAGTCACATCATTCATACCTCCGAATAGGTTCTTCTAAATGAACAAGAGATCTCCAAAGATTTTAGATCTTTAAGAAGAATTGGGAAAAAGAAAGACCGCCTTGAGTTGAATTCCCAATTCAACCTTTTATCCGAATCCATCTTAAAAAAGACAATTGATCTTCTTCACTAAGGGAGTCAAGACAACATCACCACTACCCTTGTGGCTCCGATACAATATAGAAAAAGACGGATGCCATAATATCATAACAATCTGCTTCTCAATTAGTATAACACTGTCACACTAGCTCAAGACTCACAGCCCAATAAAAAGAAGAAGAAGAGCTCCAATGAGGTGGAAGAAAAACTTCAGTCAAAGATGAAAAATACGATACACAAAGGCATTAAAATCTTGACATCCAAGATTAACCTTAACACATGTGACCCAGGGGTACGCAAAGAAATTATAATCTTGACACCCAAGATTAACCTTCAACAATGTGACCCAATTTTCACACTACACACCTCTATTTAAATAGAGTATTTTTACAACTATATTTCCTACAATTACTATCCACTTGCAACGATAACTACTAACAACCTAGTAGTTTTACCACTTCCTACTACATAAACTTATAAGTACAATTTTACTACATCACTCATAATAAAATAACATAAAAACTAGTATACGTTCTAGAAAATACAATTTAACAATTTTAACACTCCCTCTTAAAGTGATTTTCTACATCTCTCTCCTCTCTCTCCTCTCCTCTCTTCTCTCTCTCTCTCTCTCTCTCTCTCTCTCTCTCTCTCTCTCTTTCTCCCTTTTTAGAACTGAACCAGCTTCAGGCTATAGGGCTTTCCATCATGATCTAAGAGAGCTTTGACAAACGCTTGAGCATGTCACGAACCCATCGTGAGGTAGATCCCAACTCACACCCCATAATTCACTCTCACTAGTTGGTACATGCCCGCACGTGCACCTCACATACTGCAGTTTTCGAGA